GTGACTGCCCAGTATGAGTAAGGTGTGAGCAGCCACAATATGGAGGTGGCACCTGAGAAAGAGAAGAGTTTCTGTTCTGTGTGTTTAGGACAAAGGACAGGACTCCCATAGTGACATGCTGAGGGTGAGCCTAGGGAGACCATCACCACCTTTGCTTTGAATTAGTAAATTAATTGCGTTCAACACTTACTCATCACTTCAGCAGAAGCAGCTAATGCAGCAGCATACAGTGCCTGTGAGGAAATAGTGGGGTAGTTTGGGTACCAGGAGCACTTAAATAACTGCATTGATAGGATGTAGCACACCATGTGGGCTAAAAATTATTGCTAAGCAGCATGGTGCATTGCACTCCAGGGAATTCCTGTATTTAGGATCAGAGCAAGCTGTTAAATAGCCACAGACGCTGTACTCCTTTTCCTGACTTGCTGATGAGTTGTCGCACTGGGTCGGGAAGGCATGGCTACAGCTAGCAGGTAACAGATGGAGCCTGCTGCTCTGGCCTTTCATTGCACTGGGATTTCCTGCAGGCTGAAAGCATCTGAGCTGAACACAGCTTGGGGCACTCAGTACAGCTCTTGTAATACACCTTCCTTTCAGCTGGAGTACCAAACTCTTAAAGAAAGAGAGCCCCTTCTCTTGGGAATAGGCTATAACATTTTCCTGGATTTGGTGCTGTTGTGAGGGTATGGGAAGTATGCTCCCACATATACATTCACTTGCACAAAAGCAACAGAAAATGGAAAATGTGTCCTGAATCACTACCAAGGAAGTAACAAAGAATTAAAGTTAACAGCAAACTGTATTTTGCATGTCATTAGACCTTACTGATATAATCAAGCTGGTTTTTTTCCATGGATGACAGCTTTGGCCTGTAACAGGATGAATAGATCTCCTGTTAATGAAGTACATACACGGTACTGCTGTGGTAAGCGTGCGCTTCTTGCCAGAGCCCAAGGCAACAAATGTAGGTTGGTAATTATAGCTTTGGGAGAGGTAAAGATTTGAAGAATATGTAGTATGCAAGCTACAGTTAAATAGTATGGCTCAACAGGGCTGGAGAGACAGTCCAATTCTAGTCAAAATCAGTCCACACATTCACAGGGGCTACCAGATTCTGCTCTTGTTTACACTGTTGGAAACCTTAAAAGTTAACAGCAGGATTCTTTCTGAATGTACGTCTTGGGGAACATGGTCCTGTGTTGTTGTAAATAAACATGGATAACGTGACTTAAGATGAATATATGGTATAATCCATCCACTGATGGATTGTGATCTCTTCCTTTTGGACAGGGGCAGACATAATCCTGCAGTAGAAAAAGCCAGCTAGCGTCTGCACTGACCAGCCAGATGAGTCAAAAATCTCTGCTCAGAACATCTCTTTGGGGTGAGTAGGTAGAAATCAGTGGGTCTGGTCCAGTCCTATGAGGACAGCAGCCCACACATATCCATGAGGAAGACCCAACTCTCATTCCCAATTCTGGTCAAAAGGAAGGGCCTCTTCCTCAGGCACATTAAAGCAGACCAGTGTTGCTATACCTAGGTGTTTAATGGGAGCTTTTTTTTTCCACTGTAAACTTCACGTGAACCATTAAGGTAACATGAGCCTACATCAAGGGAATTGTGCTGCCCCTTGGGCCTCTGCAGGGGGTGAGAAAAAAAACAGCACATGCTTCTGTGCAACAGAAAATCTTTATTGGAATGATATCCAAAGGATCCAGACTTCTGTGCCTGTCCTCCCCCAAACCTACTGTGTATGCTGACAGGACATGGCAAGGAACAGCTCTGTCTTGGCAAGAGGGGGCAGGCAGCCCTCAGCCCCCCGCTTTACACCCAGCCTGCCTTCCTGTCCCAACAGCAGGTGTTAGGTCATCACAGACCTGCTCGTAGGAGGCGGTGGGAAACCCAGACGTCACTGTGAGCAACGTCTGCAGGTGTGGGCAGAGGCCCAAGCTCAGGGAAACTGAGTTAGCATTTGGTGCCTCGGGGGACCTGGTGGGAAGGGGAAGAGTGCACAGTGGCAGCAGACGGAATGGCACACACAGGACAGCGAGGAAAGTTGGGAAGCATCTTCCAAGTAGAAGACCACAGTAGGTTAAACCTGGAAGGAAGGAACAGTTGAGAGTGGTAGTGGGCTACCAGCTCCTGTCACGGTCCCTGTTAGACTTGGCTGTGGTGCAGTCATGGCGGATGGCATCCAAGTTAGCAGCACGATGAGGGAATGGAACAAACTCTTAACACACTAATACCCAGCAAGGCAGTTTGGGGAAGGACTCATCTTCATCCTCCAGTCCTGGCAAGCCTTCAGATGCAGTATTTCCAAAAGCAGGCTGGGAAGGGATACAAAAGAAGGATGTTAGCATCCAAGGGACTTTTTCCAGCTTCCCTCTCGAGCCCTGGAGTGGGTTTCAAAATCCCCATGCCTTGAGAGAGTTGGGGTGTGAAGCCAGCATTGTGGTCTCTGGGCACATCTCAATAACCAGCTTTGACTTTATATAACACTTCTAGAAGGTGTTTCTTTCAGCTTCTTATAGTGTAAATAAGGGGTCTAAAAGTTGTTTCTGTGTTGCTTGATTTATAAGGGTTTGCTTTTCCCTTTGCTGTACTTCAGCAATATCAGGAATCAGCTTTTTCTTTCCTGTCTACTGGCCAGCAGTTTTGCTGCCTCAGAGGTCTGTGCAGGGTTTTTCACCTGTGGCTGACTGCAAGAGCAGGAGACTTGGAGAGGCTGGATTTGGTCCTTACAATTTTTTTTTAAACCCGGTCACTCTACTACTCTGCTGCTAACTGTCCTTCAAACAACATCCATCTCTGGGGGGTCTTCTAAGATGACTGGATAAGGGAAGGATGCACATTTTGGTGTTGGAAAAAATAGCTGTATCACCAGCATGCCCTGTTGTTTGAAGCCTGTGTGGGTCTCCTATTGCCAAGTATGAGAAGAGATTTCTGCTTGGTTTATTGAAAGCAGGATCTTGGGAGAAAGCTTCTACTGAATCAGCAGAGCTCATGCTGAGACACGAGCTCCTCCCAGACTGGAAGGATTTTAGATGAAGGCAAAGATTCTCTGCTTTAATTTCTGTCAGAATCTGATTTAAACCTGGCAGAGGGAAGTAGTTTTATCTACGTTTGAACCTTCCAGACTGGTGGGGGCATGAATTAGATTAGCCAAATTAATGACAGCCTCCAGGGTTGCTTATAAATCGCAGATTGTCTAAGGATCCTCTAAGTACTTAAGCAAGCCTTGCACAAACGGATTTTCTCTTGGCTGGCTGGCAGCTTGCACGCGCACAGAGCATGGGGGGTAAGGGCAGAACTAGTGCTTTTGTTTTCAGGCCAGGTCTGTCATCAGTGACTTCTGGTTTACAGCTGCCACTGCTTTGTGGAGGAATCCACTGAAATCCAGCGTGAATGGCAGCGTCCATGTGCTTTTCAGGAGCAGCCTTGCAGGAGCACTGGTGCAACGTGCTCCTGAGTCGCTGGATACAGACTGGACAAAGCTTGGAGACCAACTGGGGGACCTACCAGATCTTAGTTCCCTGCATTCTTGGTTGATTTCCACATCCTTTTTAGGTGCTTTTCAGCAGCACAAACAAGTGCTCCTTTTTTCTCTGTAGGGAGGCAGTGACCTTGGCAGAGGGGAATGTTTGCAGTCCACATGCCTCATTATGCCTTCAGCACTAGCTTTGTGCCCAGAGCAAAGTGACGGGTGCACTGTGGGGATGTGCTCCTACAGAACTCACCCCCTCCAGGACAGGCACTCATTGCTCATATAACCTGGTGCTCTTCTGTGGAAAGAGGGGTGCAACAGTGACTGCCTCCAGTGAGGTGCTGGGTGTGCAGACCCAGTGTATTTGCCCTGGCAGCAGACAGGGTTGGGTACACAGTCCTTCTCACCAGCTGCTAAGCCAGCCAGCCATTAATAAGAGAGGACCAGAATGGCTAGAAAAGCTGCCAACCTGTTTTTCAGCATATTTGGGGCATGTTTACTGTCATTGTCTTTGTTGCAGAAAGGAAGCCCTGGAGATGAAACCAGACAGGATGGCTGCAGGGGTCTAACCCAAAACCTACCGCGTTTTTTGGGCTGGGATGCTGAGAGACTTTCCAAGGCATAGGCCACCTCGGACCCTTCCTCAGTTGAGAGCTGATCCTTCAACTTCTCCAGCTGTTTAAAAACAAATACAGCAATAAACAAATGCCCCATCACGAGGACCTCTACAGCCTGCTGGCAGGTGCAGGGCAGCTCGGAGGCAGGAGGTACAGGCAGCCTGGCTGACAGCATCCCTGGGGAGGACAGGGTCTTCCCTGGAGGATGATCTGCCTTTGGAGCCCTCACACCTCCTCATCTCCTCCTTCATTAAAATGCTTGTTTGGTGGCAGCAGTACAGGTACTCTCTGCTCTTCCCCCCCACCACCCTGCAGGGTGCAAACCCCTGTGGAGATGAGGCTGTGTAGAAGACAGAGACCCCACCCGGAGCACTACGTCCAGCTTTGGAGTCCTCAGCACAGGAGCAGGTCCAGCGGAGGGCCATGAAAATTATCAGAGGGGTGGAACATGTCTTCTATAAGGAAAGGCTGAGAGTGTTGTGGTTATTCAGCCTGGAGAATAGAAGGCTCCAGGGAAAACTTATTGCAGCCTTTCAGGACTCAAAGGGGGCTTATAAGAAAGATGGGGACAAACTGTTTAGTAGGGCCTGTAGTGATAGGACAAGGGGTAATGGTTTTAAACTAAAGGGGGGTAGATTCAGATTAGATTTAAGGAAGAAATTTTTTACAATGAGGGTGGCATAGGTTGCCCACAGAGGTGGTAGATATCCCAGCCCTGGAAACATTCAAGGTCAGGTTGGTCGGGGCTCTGAGCAACCTAATCCAGTTAAAGATGTCCCTACTCATTGCAGGGAGGTTGGACTAGATGGCCTTTAAAGGAACCACTGCGGCAGAGAGCAGCTTCTCCATTGCTTTGGGCTGTCCATCCCCTCCTTTCCCCCCAGCTCTTGCTAACTGGACCTGGCCTGAGAAAGGGTAAAAAGGGCTTCCACTGCTTGTGAGATTTGAGGCACAGTGGGAGCCACATCAAGGTTGCTGCACACCTTTCCCTGTTCCTGGAAACTCAGTGTCGATGAGGTTTCCTCTTGCTATCTGTGTATGTATGCACTCCATAGAGCACAGCAGGGCTCTGACCCTGGGTAGGGCCTCCCTCACTAGTAAAGAGCCCAGACAAAAATCAGTCTGGATTAGGTGTGCAGTGGCTAGCCCTCTAACTTCAACCCATTATCAGACGCAGCCAGCTGATGCAATGCCTGGGAAGGCAGCAAGACTTCCCCTTCTCCTTCTCTTTTCTTCCATGGAGATTTCCTTTAGCATCTCTTTTTTTTCCTGGCTTAGCCTTCGCTGGCCTTTTACTGGTGGCAGAGGCAACAGCTGCCTCAGCCTTTATTGCCCAAGTCTATAGGCTTGCTGCCTTTTTATCTTTTCCAGGTTGTACAGCTATTTAGCCCAAGTTCTGCTTTTCCCTTTGTGTGACACATGGTTACATGATAGCAGCAGAATGAAGAGTAGTAGGATGTAAAGATGGAAGAATAGGGCATGAAGACAACGTGCACAGTTGTTTAGCTCTCCATGCAATGGTATGCATATAAGTGTGCATTTGCTGCACTCACCTGTTCAAGCTCTTCGAATTTCTTTGCCAGTTCCCAGTCTGCAAGAAGGAAAAGAGTAACATCAGTATCTGCATTGCTTCCCAAATCCAAAACAGTTTCTTCATATAACCTCTTCAGTGGTTGACAAAAAAAAGACCTAGTTATCATTCACTTCCTGATAGGGATCTCCAAATCTATGGTAGGAGAAGCAGTGACAGAAAAGCAGGCTTCCTCTGCTGGATTCTATGGGACTTCACCCTAATTCTCCATCACGAGGGAGGCTTCTTTATCGTTCGCCATGCTTTAGAGGGATTGGCCTAACAAGGTCATGTACTGTGTGATACCAACTCAGGTGAACCTGCTGCTTTTTAATTTTCATCCTGAAAACAGCAAATCCCTAATGCTGGCTTTTCTGTGACTGGCCTTTTATATGAACTCCCATGGCTTCCTTTAAGACTTGTTTACCTTCACATCACCCACGCAGGCAGAAGTCAGAAGACACAGATTTAGCCTAGCATAGCTTATTGCTTTGTAAGTCAGCAAACATCAGAGTTGGCAGAGTGGAGCAACAGGAAAAGCAACATAGCAGTAAGCGCATGGGTTTCACGCTTCGAAACGTTAGGGGAGCATGGGGACCTGGGGACCTGCTTCATAGATCAGACTTAGAGATCTCAAGGCTGAGCAGTACTGTACTAGACTATCAAAAAAATTATGCAGATGGATAAACAAGCTGCCCTGAGATATCCCATCCAGGAGAAGGGGAAAGTTCGGTGCCTATGAATGGGATCTAAAACCTCCAGCTGAGTTGGGAAGGGTCTGGACTAGCAATAGGGAAAGCTGCAGGAAAGGATGGGGGATTTCAATCTCACTCCTCTTGAGGACTGAGGTACCTTATTCCAGACTCAAACTGATGTCAAAAACTGTTACTGTTTTTTTAATAAAAGAGCTGAAAAAATGGAAAGCACCACGAAGAAACAAGCTCAGGCAAAGCTGCATGACTGGACTGCAGCCGTTCTCCTGGGAGGGAAACACAAAGTGATCAGCTGGCTTTAAGTGCCAGTTTGGGGAAAAAAATGCACTAAAATAAGCAGAAGAGCCAGGAAAGAGCTGGGCCCCAAAGAAAGCCAAAAGCCAGCCCTGGAGCTTCCTCCTTTGTCTGCTCCTAAAGTGGCAGCAGGCATTGGTCTGCATCTCCAAGGGGATTTAGGACATAATTCCCCCTGATTTCAGATAAGACTTCAGCACACAGGCACATCTCCAGACTTGGGCTTTTTTTTTTTTTTTAAACATTTGAAACTGAGCAGGAGGGTGCCAAGAAAGCTGACTGCCTTCTCAGTTTCTCCTTCGAGAAGGAAACAATCCAGTTGAAAAATCCTGGTTATTTTCTGACAGATATTCGTCCAACAGAAAAAGCAGCAGTTCCTAAGCAAACCCATTACATCAGGGCTCAGTTTGCGAGATGGGCTGGGAGTCAGGAGGTGGGGGCTCTGTTCCTGGCAGTGCCAGTAATGACTTCAGGCAGATTCCTCTTAAGCAAGTTTTTACATATCCATAAGGTAGAGACAGCCAGGCCTGCATATCTACAAGTGAAAAGTGCCACTTAAGAGATTATTATTATTAGTAGTAGTAGTACTATTCACATTTTTACCTCTTTCAGAGTTTCAAGTGCCCTTTTTGGCTCAACTTTCCACAAACCGTAAGCTTGGCCCCTGACTGCTATGAATAGAAAATGAACAGCGGCCGAAATTTGGAACAGATTATCTCAGGCAGGAGGAAGGAAGTTAATTTATGGATGAAGCCTTGAGAAACTGCCTGCTGTAAATCCTCTGTCTGTGCTCTGCTCAGAGATTCATTATATTCAATTGTCTGGCATAAAATGCAGCCTTTCCTCTAGGAGTAATAAGTGCAATAATCCATAAACCAATCATAAAAATGTTATTTCTTGAATGCATCCCTTTTGCAAGAAGAATGCCTTTGTTAGCACAAGGACTTGATTTATCTATGTTTATTTATTTGTCCCAGGATTGTTTAACCACTGCCTCACTGCATTAACAAGGGGCCGGGGAAGAGCACTGGGTGATTTTGACGAATGGATTTTCATAACAAAATTTTTGCTGGGCCCCATTCTTGGCTGTTTTCACAGGGAAGGCCAGCTTCCCGCTCTGAGACCACCACACATGGTCCAAACCCTCCCCTGGCTGCAGTGGCCGTGGGAATAGCTGACCCCTGTCATCCACATGCTGCTTGTGATGGCTGTGCGTAGTGTCATGCAAAGCCCGAGTTTCTCTTCAGCAGGTCCGAGTTTAGAGGCTGTCGTGACATGCGGGTGGCTTTAAATTTGGTGCCTGTTCACAAAGCACAGACAGGAAAAGCCTCCATGTGGCCTGTCTTTGGCCTCTCCTCTGTGTGGGAAAAGCCCGCTGTCTCAACCTCATGCAGCAGTAGCAGAGGGTCCGGCTCAGACGGGACCTCCTGCCGCTGTTGTCCCAACCTACACTGGACCCCAAGGATGTCAGCCGTATGCTCTCTGCAAAATCCTGATGCCGCCCCGCTGCCCCATGTGCTCACAAGATGCTGCTGGTTTTAGCATGCCAGCAAGACACTGAGCTGTATCTCAAAGGCACCTGGGGCTGTATGGGGTGTGGGTGGAGAGGTGACTCCCATGGCTGGCCCGTGCCCCAGGTGTAGTGTACAACATCTCAGGGATAGCAGGGCCACAGGGACTCAGCAGCATCTCTTCTTGTTATTAGTTATGTGCACACACGTGGCTCCCTTGGCAGCTCAGTGTTGAGTGTCTGAGGATCTGGGGTGTGTGATTTTGGGTAGCTTTATATTGCATTGCAAAAGCAGGCCCAGGAGCCCCATGATGCAGAACACCTGACATTAATCACAGGTAGGCACCATACTGGGTGCTTCCACTTTCTGAGCAGTCGGTATTTCTGAGGAACCTGAGGAGCAGGTTGCTTACATTCATGCAAACACAGATTCAAGCAGCTGAGATCTCCCATCCCCTTTGCTTACCAATATTTTCCGGTCTCCGCCATGCAAGCTTCTTATTAAGAAGCAGAGTCAGCAGGGTGTCCTCATGATTTGTGTCTCCTCTCTCCGGAAGCACTCGGTTCTCTGCAGCACATAAAACACACCTTTCTCCATCTCTAATGACAAAAAGGATAGATCTTCCAGCCTCCAACATTAAAACAAAAATTAAGAACGCTAAGAAGTGGAAGGAAAATGTCTGCTGTCAGCACTTTGTCAGGGTGGAAGGAGCTCAGGGGAAGCACAGAATAAAATGTCCAGGCAGAGAGGGCTGCGCAGTGAAAGGGTGTGGGATGGGGGAGCCCTGCCTGCCAGCTCCGGGCTGCTGGCCAGTCTCACTGCAGCCTCATCAGCACGGCCGGCTGCAGAGAGCGGGAGACACCACCCTGCTTCAGACAGCCTCGACCTCCCCTGCATGGCAGATGTAGCCTCTGCAAAGCCAGACAGCAACCCACAAAAGCCTCTCTTCTCAAAACTTCAGGTGCTCCCCCCACCCCCGCCCCATGGGAACTTGCTCCTCAAGAGGGCTGACGTGTGGGTACCATAGCTCGTGTGGGTACCATAGCTGAAAAGCCCTGCAGCCTATCCTGGTGCTCACTCAGCCTTGGGGCTGCCCTATCTGATTGCCAGTGGTATTAAAGGAGTGTGGAGGAGTTTAAAGTGAGCCGCTTTATCCCCAAGGAAGCTTTTTACGGTAGCTGTAGGCCACGCAGAATTTTTCTGTTTTCCAGGAAAAACCTCCCAAAGCTGCTGTCCTAAAGCAGTTTGGATGTCTCTATGAGGCCCCTTTAGGGAGCTTTCTCAGTGGTTTTGCTTTAGCGGTTGCGGCTGTGCCCTCAAATGAACGGTTGTGAAGCTCAAGGGGTCAGCAGAAACCAGCGCTCACAGGGGATGGGACTAATCAGAGCCCTGAAGGCTCTGACACCCTCCCACCTCTGCTAAACAGATTTCCAGGATCATCTGAAACTTGAATGCTACATTCATTTTTGAGAATGATAGAATGGGAGCCAGACTTTACAGGGAGAATGTCCATTCCCCAAAATCTTTGGTCTGAACACCCCTGCCCCACACACAGGCCCTGAAAAGCCCTAGAAGATGCCTACAGAATCCATGGAAAATGCAAAGAGATTATGCATAAAGGCTTATTTTCTCTTCTCCCAGTATCTTTAGGACTTCTGCTCACTCCCTTCAAGGAGGTAAGAAAGGGGAAAATGGTCTCGTATCGCCATCAGCCCTACATAGCTGTGATGGGATGAATGCAATTATTTTTGACGCACGCGAGACAGAACATTGTACCAAGGATGCTCAAGAATATGTGGGAATCAGCTCCATTAGCCAATGCCACATAAATCTGCAGAAGCAGAGGGGCCCTGGCCAAAGTGATGCTCCAAGTATTCGGCCAGACTCAACCCTGCCTCACGCTGCGACTGAAGCCGCTGGTCCTGATTGTGATCTCTAGAAATAAACCCGAGGGACTTAGTGGGGCTACACGCTGTGAAAAACTTGCAGTTAGCGTGGAGTGCTATAAACCTCATTCCTAAGTCTGAAAGACAGTTATGATTTTAAAATAGCTACTTCTAGTCATTTGGGGGATTTGCTACAGAAAAAAAAAAACCCTACAAACACTCTAGTAAAAACTAAACAGAAGCAGTATTTAAATAGAGTGGCCTCAGGAATGTTTTGGTTGTCATTACAGAAATAAATAGGTGATATAAGAGGAAAAATAATACGAAATGTGATGTTATTTTCAAGCCTATATTTAGCTGCTTTTTTTTCTACTGCCAAGTCTCTTTAAGAAAGAAGATTAATGATTGACATTTCCTTGCAGAATAAGTTCAAACTAAGATTAATTTAAATTATGGGAGAAGAACATATAAAGAAGTTTTGTGAATAAAAAAAGTTCAGCAGCACCCTACTACTGACATTTATGAGCTGTCAAATCTCATATGGTGCATACTGGAATTGCTACTCTCTGATATTTTAATGTTTTCCCTTGGAAATTTTCTTTTGGGAGAAAAAGAGCTACCCTTACCAGATTTCACCCGATCTGATATTTTTACTGATTAGCAGAATGTGTCATACAACCAGCTGCAGACCAGAAGGACAGCTTTAGCTCATGCTAATATGAACAAGTCTTTGGGTAGCACCCATGTTAAGCAATTGTTTAGTATAGGTCAAGGTTCCTTTTATTTTCTTTCACAGATAAGCAAGTGTTGCATGGCCATGACAAGCAGCAAAGCAAAGCAAAAAGATAACCACCTACCTGTGTCATCAGGTCTGTATTCCAGCTTACCTTGTAGTAAAAAAGGCTCTCCATGTGTAGACGGGACATACACAGTCATGGTCAAGATGGTTAGCACTCCAAGGGACAGCTGGACAGACCACATCTTCTCCATGTTCCCACCACCCAAAAGCATTCTTCCTTCAGGCACGGTGGAGGACTTCAATGCAACCCAGTGCCAGATGAGCTCACTTTTAAGAGGCAGTGGATGTGCCGTGATTGCAAATGGCCTTTGGAGGAGGGGAGAAAAAAATCTCTTGAGATATAATTCAACCTGTCAATATGATTCACTCCTTTGGGAATGGACAGAACAACTCAGTAACAGACGTCAGATGGAACCTGTTCAATATATTTCATATCAGACTGATCTAATGAATTCTGATGTTCCCACCGGCATGCACCGTCCACATACGTCAATACACATTCCATACCTACATACATTAAAAATATTTTTTCAAGGCTGCTGCTTTAATGGAGTTCAGACATGAGGACTCCCACATTAGCAAGGAATATTTGTCTAACATGCAAGTTGCCGTATGTCACCAGTTTGGACAGAATCAGGTTAATGGGGTTTTGTAATTTATCATCTCACTTCCTAGTGCCTATATTAATTAATGTGAGATATAATGAGTGCTGAAGTGGTGGGAAACAGAGGGGGAGAGTTCTTTTCATTTAACTGATTGGAAGATGTTGAGTGGGTCTCACTCGCCGTGACTTATGGCTTTGTCAACGGGAAAGGCATCACACCCTATTTTGGGATTGTGTCTGAGTGGGGGAGTGCAGATTTGGCAGCAGATATGGAATACATCAAGGATGGGCAACTGTCTTCAGTTTTTTCTTGGGGAAAAAAAAAGAAGTGGAAGGTCAGATTCTGGTTCTGGCTGTACAGACATATTTTATTAGTTTAAAGCAAAATATTGAGGCACATTGCACGTATTCCATGTCTTCTCAGGTCATGATTACATCTTGGTTTGGCTTCTGTTTGTTGCCTGTCCATCACTATTGATCAGAGACCTGCGACTAGTTTTCTATTACAACCTTACCAAGAAAAATGTAATAGTAACAGTGCTAAACTTTGTTCTTCACTTCTGCTTCTTTTGCAGAACTGAATCATCTGTACTACACTTTGGCCAAGCTCTGATTTGTACATATACTCCTAGTGACTCACCTCGTGTGCTTTTTTGACACCACATCATGCCAGAATACCCAGCATAGCTTCATCTGATGGTACCTGCACTTCATCTTAACTGAAAGACAATATAGTTTCCATGTTTGGGCTTTTGGCTTCTGGTCCCCAGCTCTCCCTGCAACTTGCTGTGCACTTTGGACAACTATAGGATAACTAGCCTGTCAATATCCCTTTAATATTTACTTTTTACTAAAAAATTAGGGGAGAGAGGCTCAATTTTTTTTTTTCAAGAAGTGCCTATGAAAATTAATATGATGCTTCCATTAAGGAATATTTCTCTACTGAGGAAATAGTCCGAAATTTTCCCTGTAGATTTAGTATGTACAAATAAACCAAACTTGGTTTTCCTCTCAGTCTTGTGAACTAGTGATCAACCAGCTGAAGTGCTCCCTTTTCCTTCTTCACAAAGTTCTGTTTGGACTGAAGGACATCTGTGTCCTACAGGAAACACTTTTCCAGACACCTCTGTCTCCCTAAGATGCCCATTTCAAACTGGTCAGTAGTGAGCAGCCCCCATGAAGCAGAGGCCATAACCTGATGAGCACCACCTTGCACAGGCAGCCAGGGTGGGCAATTGTAGCTCTGACTCAAGACCATATTCCTAAGGGAAGATCAAGTCTGGTTTTAGTTGGTATTAAAGGACTTTCCGGATCTGTACCAGTCTGTCCTGACATCTGCTGTGAAATTGGGTTTGCCTTGCTATAGATGACGGTTTTCCCCATCTCATCTAAGTCTACGCAGAATCCATAGATCTCGGACTGTTTTTTCCTACCCTTGGCTGTGAGGCATCATGGACTATTGGCAGGCTCTTTCAGGAAGATGAGTTCTTCCCTGGGATTTCCTCTTTCACTGCAGAGAAGCTTCAGTTCTGGGTCACTGTGACCGTTCAGCCCTGAAAGCAACTAATATATACAATGTGCAAGTCCTTTCAGGTGAGGGCCCTGGTGAAGGTGACAGACTGTTGTTCTACACTTACATACTAGGAGGGACAGTACTGGATGCTGTGCACGGGTGGGTGGATAGATGACAGCCACTGCCAGATGCTAGTGGACTTTTTGCATTTGTTGCCATTATGAGATCATTGATTTGAAGTGTTGGGCTTCTGTAAGGCTCCCACCTGGAAAATTCCTTTGCTTTTAGCCCATCTGTCTGGGTGCTGAAAATAACTATTGAATTTTATTGTTCTTACAAATTTTATTCTCCATAGAAAAACAACATAGTCTCCATATTCTCCCTATTGCTTCACCCAGTAATGTCTTTACATCATCCACTGAGCAATTCTGCCTAGAGCTCAGAGATAGCGAGAACATGAAGGTGGGAGCTCCATCTCTACCTCTCATGGTCCTTATCTGTCTAAACCTGTTTGATAGAAGTTTCTCTTTTCATAAAGCTATGCAGACTTCAGGTAATCAAACACAATCAAACTGGAAAATTGACAAAGATGGACAAAACCAGACAATCCAGAGGGCAGGAATGGAGAAGACTTGGCCCAAGCAGCTGAGATACCACTAAACTCAGCTGGGCCAGCTCTGGGTGTGAGAGGGATGAGCCCTGAGGGTGTTAACAGGCCTGAGCAGCCTCAGCTGGGTCCTCCACCCACCCTCTCGGCCCATAGGCCAAGAAGTCCCTTTTAAGCTCAGCCCTGGACCACCTCTGTTTCTGCCTGAGCTATGTTGGAGGAGTGCTGGTGTACAGTTCATGCTACATCTTTGCCTGCCTATGGCTCCTACTGATTTGGACTCAGACCTGCAGGTTGACTTCCCTACCTGACCTCAGATGTGTTGCATCAGTGTGGACCTGTCTGGTGTTCACTGGGCTGTGTTTGACCCTGGTTGCTATCATCAGGCCTGATTCTGACTAGTGGATTCATTTCCAGCTTGACCCTGGATTTGTCTCATCACCATGGGCTTTCCCTGATCATTGGGACTCTTGGCCAAATATGGCTGCTGTCTCTGGGCCTGCCCTGCTTGCACCCCTTGGGATGGGTCCCTGTCCTGCTGGCAGCATTGCAGCACTTGGCTCCCTGTTCCTTAGGGAATGGATAGCCCTTGCTGCTCTCAGGTATCACCTTCCTCAAAATGTTCAGCTTCTTTCTATGCATAGACTCCTTTTCTCTGCTGGGTAGACTAGCAGATCTTGGAGTGGTGAAGGCTTTCAGGTATGTTATATAAAATCCTAATTTCTCTGAAGTCACTTTGTGCTTTGCTGTTAGGTCTAATGAAGCTAGGACTGCCTCTAGAAGAGCTGCAGTCCCCAGATAACCTAACTTTAATTTAAACTCAAAGAAGTAATGTTAACTGTTTCAGAGTGCCTCAGACAAGGGGAATTCAGTATGGGGTTTGGGTGACTTGTAAGATGCAGGAGGCAGTGTTGAGCTGCTGAAAGCAGGAGACCACGAAAGGGCTGCTTTCCAGAGTCAGCTTGGAGTGGCAGGTTTCCAGACCACTTTGTACACTGTACATTTGGGGTTTGGAGAGAGGGAGGATTTTTTTTTCTCCAGAGCTTCCTGAGAACACATGAAAATATCACATGCATCATGTATTTCAGGTGAGCCTCAACAGTACCCACAGACTTTGCTGTGGTCTTATAGTCTCCACTTGACCATAGTTTGCTTGGTCCCAAAGCAAACAACCTGCTGTGGGAGGACCTGTCAGGGAAGAGCCTTTATTTAAGGTTGGGAGAAAGGGCACGTGAAGTGTCCTGCAACCTCTGCACCAAGGATGGGATTTGGCTGCAACCAGGTAGTCTCAGCTCTCTGCTGGAGACAGGATTTTATACAGTGTGGTACATGTGGGGAGACTCAGGTATCGCTGTTCTTTAGCCTAGAGTCTTTCTAGGAATAAGATGATGGTGGGGAATGTCAAACAAAGTTGGAAATTAGGAGGGCATGTGCCTTGTAGAGGGAATGGCAGGGTGGGGATTTGACAGCCCCAACAAAGCTGGAAGAAGTTGGTGAGCTTTTAGCCAGCAAGAAAGGGGAGCTGCCCTCACAGCAGAGGTGCAGTAAGCTTCATATGCAGTGTCAGAGAGGCAGGAGTCATCTTGCTCCCCATCCTGGGCAATGACTTATGGTGTACCCCCCTGTCCCACCATGTGCCTCTATCACCTCTATCTATCCACATGCCCAACTGTTTCCATCTTCTGTAGCCAAGTCCCTGCTCTCTTCTGCAGTGTCTGCCTTTCTTGCCTGTATCACCACTGTAGACCTGACACCATTTCTCTCTTCTGCTTATGCTCCTACTGCATCTAGCTGCTTCTCTGTGTCTCCAACCGTGCTTCACCTGGTAGGAATCAGAGTAGAAGGTACTGAAAACCACCCTGTCCTCTTCAGCCTTCATCCTTCACACATTTAATATCTGATTTCTCCTCTGCCTGTGTCACTTCTACCCTGGGGTGAACTTGAGAGAACAAAACCCACTCCAGTCCTGTTTTTATGTATTTAAAGTACCACTGGAAGGCGCTCAGATACTCTGCTGATGTGTGGTGCAAAGTCACTAGCAGAGCAGCTTGGCTACACAGAAAGGAATTAAAATAATATGCACATAAGCTAGGAGAGCAGCCCCCCTCACAGCTCCCTGAGAGGAGGGAGTGCATAATGGGGAGGGAGATGTAGTTATAAAATGAGATTCTCTGTTCCTTAGGGGACTGTTAAAACCAGTCAATATTTATGAAGCTTTTAGTCTGACTCATGCAATTTGTTCCCCCTTCTACGTGCTTGTCTTTGGGACTCAGCTGTTGCTTGGCCTGTTACTGCCATAAAATTAGATGCTATGGTTTAACTGTCTCCTTGCTTAGAGAAAGAAAAGGGAATGGTCCAAGGTAGAGTGTAAAGCATCTCAATTTGTCACCTCACTGCAAGCAACCAAGGGAGCACTCGGAGGGAAGCATCACCAGCTCCCATCAGATGGGTGTTGTAC